TTTTTTTTTAGGGAAATGCTTGGAGAGGCGGACTCAGAGAAACAAAAAAGAAAAAAATGAAGATCTAAAAGCAGCATTAATTAGGAGGGGATTCCTTGTTTTAAGCAGGAAAGGGCCAGTGAAAAGGATGGAAATGGAGGCAAGGCTTTGAAATTAGATCTTGAGACAAAAATTGTTTCCAAACTAATAAATGTACTGTTTTCAATACTAAACCCGTTGATTAACAGGCGGGGCGCATTACATACAACAGATGCGATTTAGAAGCGGGAGAGGGAAGGGTGATCATTGTGCAGAAGAAAAGGTGAACGATGTAATTCGATCGGGTGAAAATCCGAAACAAATGTGACCATTGGATGCACTCTTAACACCTATATGTCCCGTTTAATCCATCAACATTTGCTGCTGGACACAAACAAACAAACAACCAAAAAAAAAGAGGAAAAAATAAAGACGGGCAAAAAAATTTTCGGTAAAAAATTTACTATAAAGGAAGCTGAAACCGTAAAACGGTTTCTTTCTTTGTTGACCTTTGACACTTTTGGGACAAAAAATTGAAAAGATCATTTCTTCCTTTTTTTTTTTTTGCTATTGCTACAGAGGAAGGAAAAAATTAACATGACAAACGAAGTAAATGAAGAAATAAGAGAGACTGTTAACAGAAAAAAAAAAAGAGCATTATTGTAAAGAGCAAAAGAACTGTTTTGTTTTGCATAATACCTTTATATATACATAACTGTGACCGCTGCTGCTGTTGGGTTCAATGTTCAACTGCCCACACAAAATACGGTAGTAAACTGTTTGCTGAGATGGACAATGAAACAACAATAGCTAGTTTGGATGTATTTAGTCAAAAGTAACAAATCTTTAACTTTGAATGTTTCGTAAAGTGAAAAAAAAATAATTTTATATAAATCATTTTCATTCTGCTGCTTTTTTTTTCTCCTGCTCATTATTGAAGTTCTATTTATTTTTGAATAACGCTTTATGAATGACGATAAAGTAAACAAACACAGACACATAGGCACACAAGCATTCACACAACTTTGTACTTTTTTTTTAATGAAATTTTGTATCTATATATGTGTAGAGTGGTTGCCAGCTTAAGATTTAAGGCGGTATTTGGTATGTGGAAAACGGGGAACAATGTTTTGCTTTGTGACAAGAGGAAAAGTACAGCGGTGAGGACAAAAACGAGGACGATGTTAGGTTGTGGAGAATGGATGGGTGGTGAAAAGCAGGTTTAAGGCAATGGCTGAGGCAGTGAGGAAAGGGAGAGGATGAAGGAAGGGACTAAGCTGAGACATTTTCTTTTTCTAACTAATAAGCCGCAATTCTTATTGTAAATCATTTAATTTTTCAAATGCAGTCTTTTTAGGCGACCTTGGCATATGGTCAATAAAATTTGCATATTCACTTTTACCGGATTTTCAAAGCTTTATGAATATTGGAGTACGGCTGGAGATGGGAGCGGGGTTGGATATACGGGGTGGGGGGGAATGGTTTGTGGTGGTTGATGATGATCAGAAGAATCGATGATGCACAGATGAAAGAAAACCCTAGAAACAAAAAAAGAAAGATGTATAATACAGATAGACGACAGATACGTAACGGCAATACAAATACACACATAAATACAAGAGAGGGGATCAACGGTAAAATATTCAGTAAATTTTTTTGCCTTTCTGCTTTTTGTTTCTTGTTTCTTTTGTTCATTTTTTTTCTTTGTTTTGCAGTAATTCTTTCTTCCGTTTTCTCTTCCTTTTTTTTTTTTTCAAGTTCACTGTCCATTTTTTTGGCGATTCTTCTTTGAGTCACTTTTTCACTTTCCTCGTTTCTTTTGTTCTTTTTTTTTTCTTTTCATGAAGCAAAACTTAAGCGCCGAAAAAGTTGTTGCAAAGATGAAAGGAGCGAATAAATAAGCAAAGAAAAAAAAAAAAGAAAAAAGAAATACGAAATGGAAAAAAAGCTTATTTATTTATTATTTAGAAGAAAAAGTTAAAGGGCATTGCATTTAATAAGTTTTTATGCGGAAATCTTTAAATTGCAGCAACAGCAGTAGCAGTAGCAGTTCGGTGTTTGTGTGAATTGGGTGTCTGTGTGTTTGTGTGTTATGTGTTAAGGGCAAAAATTCAAACTATGACTGATCAAAACTGAACTTTGTCATCTGATTAACTATGCAGTTCACACAGACAAACGTAGACGAACACCGACGTCGATACACAGACACAGACACAGACACAGAGATAATGATCGCCCAGATTCAGACTGGAATATACGGGAGAAGGTGATAAGTGCAAATGGTTTGACCAGACGATAAAAATGGTTTCGATATATTGGCAACAAATTTCTTGCTTTTTTTAATCCGTACTAGCGGCTAGCAAATCATCTACTGCTGCTGCTCTAGTCTTTAGCGCGTAGAAGTGTCTTTTCACTACTATTCAGCAATCAGAATTTAAACTACCTGGGCTTGTTAAATGTTTTAGCAACATAATTGAAAGTCTAGACAATGTTTTTTAGATAAAAAGCAGTTTGATATAAAAAGATGTGTGCTTTTTTTTTTGTGGTTTTTTTCCAGTTCAGTGTTACAGATGAAAGTGCGAAAAATGCGTACATTTTTTTCTATCTTTGTGTATTCCTTTTTTTTTTCTGATAATTTAAAATTATCTTTGCTGAAGTTAATTAAACTGAGTTCAGAATTTTTTTACCTACTTTATTCGTCTTTTTACTGCTCGTTGACCGAGGTGTTTATTTTGAAATTGCTCAATTATTATTTGCATGATGCACAAATTACCATCATTGCAATCAAAGTGTAAAGGAGTCGTCTACATATA